CCTCAAATGAGTCTTTAGTCAAATATGTAATCACTCCTTTTAGTTAATAAATTGAAGTGTATATGAATACACATATACTTTGCTATTTTTGTTACAAAGAGACACATTACATTTATTACAATGAAGGTATGGAACTCATCTAAAGATGAGCATCGATAATCACCAGGGATCTTCTTCTTGTCCAAGTCAATTCAAGAGTTTGTATTTAGCAAATCTTGATCCACAAATCACTGAAGAAATGTTGATTCACATGTTCTCGGGTTTTGGAAAGATTATAAGATTGGTTCTAGCAAAGGACTTCAAAGGAGAGTCGCGAGGGTTTGCTTTCATTGAGTTTAAAAGCACGGAGAGTGCTGAACAAGCCGTTAAACACATGAACGGAACGTTAATAGGTAATTAATTGACACTATAGCTTTCTTGTTCATTTTTCATAAATTTTTTGATATATAGTATTAAAGCATGTTAATCCAATAGTAGAGTTTGGTTCTAGATTTGATCCATTACGGAGTATTATTATCTTAATGGTGTGTATTAGAAATCCCATATGTGAAATAAGCTAGGATCTAGAGTGATATGTATAAAACATATACCAATCAGTCATTGTCAAGTTGTAAGTTTTAAAACTTTGACAAATTATAAAAAGCAAAAGGATAAAGGTAACTAACTAAAATATCAAATCAATTCTTCGAAACCTGTTAGACCAAAGTATAATTGCTTACAACTAATTGTCTTAAGGTTTTAATACCTTTTTGTAATTTGGTGAGTAGGTCAGAAGATTCTATTCGTTGAGAGGACACCAAAAGTCGACGAAGGTCAAGACATATAATAACAAGAAATGCATTAGCGAGGAAAAATTCCATTGCTAAATAGTTTAGTAACCAAATTTTGGCAATAACAAATTTTTGTGTTATATTGTATCATAGTATATTTTCAATTACAAAACAAAAAAAAATCATAAATCAGTAGAGAAAACGTCGTTAATTTTTGGCTAACAATTTGATCCGAATTTTGTCGTAATTAAAAGAGTGTTTTTTATCCAAAAGAATAAAAGAGTGAGGGAAGTAAGAAGATGTTTATTTGAGATTTGAAATGGTGGTACATACTTTTAAAATTATTACACGATTTCACAAGAAGAGAATAGCAATTAAGTTGCACAATTATGAAGCAAAAAAATTGTTCAATAGAGGAATCTTCTCCAAGTGAAATATATGTTTTCGGATACGATAGAGATGTACGGTATAGAGTAATCCGGCTAACGAAACAGTCGCAAATGAGATCAACGTCAATATCCAAAAATCCTGAAAGTTAAATCACATTTAGACACAAATATAACAAGCATAAACATTCTGATAATCCATAAACATTTACTAGTGGTTATTTTTTGTTGGGGGTAAAATATATTTACGGGCTAATTTACCTCAGGATTAGATACAATGATACCTAAGAGATTAGCCATCAAGTCAAGGGCCGCTTGCAACGAGTTCTGTACACCTCCAACCACACAACGGTCCGATTCGGGAACAAGATCCTAAACCAATGTTTCCAAAGCAACACACACTCAACAAAATGCCAAAACTTTGAAGAAATAATCAAACAAAACAAAACCATTTTAATATTTACATTCGTACCTGCATTTGTTGAATTACCGCTAGATCGAACATCCACAAGCCAAGCCTAGAGGTAGCAACTCCAGCCATGAGCATGTATGATGCTATTTTCTCTTTTTCAATCCAAATCGATCCAACACAGACCAAAAGACAGGTCCACTAGGGAAACCAGAATACGATTTTGATAACAAATTCAGATAAATGAAAGACCATTCATGTATAGTGTTGATCAATCAACATTTTTAGTATAATTATGCATTTTATGGAGTTTTTGGTTGTTTTATAATACAGGTTTGGTTTTATTTGAGGATCATCAGACTAAACGAATAACCTTGCATCTATCTAGCTTCCCTTATGTAAAATTTCGATTGGTAAATGTATACATACTTGAGATCAGAAGGACCAGAGTCCGGTTCTGAGCGGTGAGAGACGAGATTGCATGAGAGGGTACACGACTGTAGCAGCTAGTCCAAAACCGGCGCTGATTCCTCTGCCTAAACCAATGATAAAAGTAGGTACACCTTTCCACTCCAATGTCGCCGTCATCAGTGTTCCAAAACTGTCTCAAAAGAAAACTATATTTACGCGAAACAGAACACAACACGAAAAGAAGGAGCTGAATAAAAGAAGAGAGAACCTGAGGACAGTGAAGAACAATAGAGCTAAAGCAACTCCAGGTAGCATAATTTCTTGATTGAGATAGTTCCGCCACGCGCTAACAAAAGAAGACTCAGAGACTCTCTCAAGAATCCTCATGATTCCGCTTCTACTTTGCGTGTTCCCATGAGACTCATCTTCGGTTGTTTCTTGTAAAAAAGGAACATGATAGCTAGATGCAACATCTCTCTCTTCTTCTTGTCTTTGAGACAACCTTAAACTCCTTCTCTCATCGCTTTTTACTATCGCAGGAACACCGTTATAAACAGAGATAAAGAGAAAATGTTCGATCCACATGGTTATAGTAGCCCAAACCGCGAATGTGATCGCTGATGCTCTTAAAGAAACAAAGCTAATGATCAAACCAGTGATAACCGGAGACAGAAGCTTCGAGCTCAAGTCAATGCTTCTAATAACAGAATTCATTCTTGTTAAAACCGTAGGCGAATGACCTTCCGACATAACCACAACCCTGTAGTTAAAAAACAACAAAAATCTCATATCAAATTGCAATTACAACAATTCCAACATGAAGTGAATCTAAAACGTTAGTTTACCAGTCTCGTTCGATTAAAATGGTGCCTGCAAGAGTAGAGAGTACTCCAATGGCACCAGAAAGATTCGTTAACACGACTAACGTTGCGAAAACCGGCAAATTCTGAGACTTAAGATCAGGAACTAGTAGCAAAGCAATGACTGAACCACCAGCAACAATAAAGGAGATGTTTTGAGTTACAAGCCAGAGTCTAAGAACTTTAACATAGCTCATTCCATCAATCATTTGGCCTACAATAGGACCGAAAATGGCAGTGGAACCGGATTCTACAGCTCCGTAGACCGCAGTGAGAAACAGAGAGTTTGGCCAGAGGTAAATCATATACAGAGCAACAGAGAATTCCCATGTTCTGCAATTTCAGTTTC